AGTTGTCATTACAAATTTGACTGCCACATTTAACATTTGATTTGATAATGACAATTGGAGTCTTTGAACCAATTGTACATATTTCTTCTCATTTTTTTCACTATATATAATGTTGGTCGAATAGTTAGACCAATCTAATTCTTGACCTAGGGTATTCCAAAAGTCTTGTACAATTATCCAAGTGTGTCTTTAGGATGCGTGATTGGATATGGATGATAAACTAGTATTAATCGATTTTGACCGATCAAGTTATTTTGTTTTCAGTCACCACACTTAAAATTCAACTCAAATCAACTATCTTAATTAAGTAACACAAATCAACCTTTTTCGCACATCACATCAACTCTAATTCGTTATTCATTAGAGCATCCACAATGCTTTGAGTTCTATCCTAAAAAATTATATGCCACTTAATAAATAGACACAGTCAAAAAAAATATATTATCCAATGCAAAGACTGGGTCCTGCTGATGTGGCAGCAAGAAAAAGAGACTCGATATCTCTTTAAGTCTATTTTAAACCCAAGTAGAGACCTAGCCCTTTTTTCTATTGGTGTGAATTCCGTTAATTTTACTTAATTTTATTAATGTCATCCAAGATTTGAGTTTATTTACATGCCGCATTGGCAAGACTAAAATCAATGCATCGCAGATGCTCTTAACTCGCGTAATTTAACTATTTATCATTTTCAATAATTTTTATCTTACTTTTAGATCACATTAACTTGAAACATTATGATTTTAAATACTATTTAATTACAAACTAAAATTCATCTACTCAATAAACTTTATTTAGAATAACTCATTTTCACTAATCAAATTAGATCATAATCGGTTGGATTCATACTAAACGACACTCCATGTTTGTTATCGTCAACGGAGAGTGTCATGTCGTTCTTGGCCGCCACGTTATCTCGTGCCCAAGGAAAGTAGAAAAGATACCTATAGTTTACGCTGACTTTTGACTTTTCTTCTACGGCAATTGAAATGAAATCCACCACTCACATAAGAGAAAAATCACAGCATTATTAGTTGGAATTATTGCATAAATTTTATTATAAATAAAATTTTATGAAAGTTCGTAATTTCAATTTTAATATATAATACTCTATGATTTTATGTTCACTTACTCATTTTTCAATTTTAGTTTTTTTTTTTTTTT